CGACTGTAAGCTCTGTCATTCTGGTGATGTCTTTTCTGACGTGCTATAATGGCATCGCGCTGTCTGAATCCTCCGTTTAGAGCGATTCCACTGCTGATTAATATCTGCGTCGACCTTTCGTCGATCTTCGGCACCTATTATTGCGCTGCTACGTTTCCCGCTGTCAGGCGGCGATCAGCAAGTTCTGATAAAATCTCTTGACTCCCAATTCCTTTGAACAAATAATTTACCCAAAATTGCCGTGTGCAATCAGTCGAGAAGCGAGTAACAAATTGTCTTGCGAACAACAGGAAAAGTGCTGTTCTGGTGTCATGATAGAAAGAGAAACGGTCATGCTGTCTGATGTGAAGGTATCTCCGGAATGCAATTTGCCCTCATCCAGCAGGCAGCTATTTATTCAGTGAGACAGTAGGCACAAGGTGTAAGCCCGGTTGTAGTCTACCACTAATGATGTAGCTTAGTTCTGTAATACTGTAACGTTCATTACCCGACTCTCAAAATTTGGTGCAACCGTGCTACAAAACGGTCAGTTTATTTCGCACTGGCCAAAAAGTTACTCAGAGAAAACCAGCAGTCAAATAATCAACGACTGAAACAAGAAATTAAAATTTACTAATTTCGTAAGATGACAAGCGCTCCCCTGTACCTTACGCAGTAGTTAAAAATCACTCATAAAATACTACACTTATACTGTACAATCTTCTAGCATAAAAAGAATGTTTGTAATTAACAAACACACTAAAAGAAGAAAATACGAAAGAGAGCTGTACTTTTGCTCTCCCTACAAAAGAGGTTATCAAATGTGTACGGTTAATCCACAAACAGAATGTTAGGTATTATTTCTGTTTCGTAGAGGTACCAAGAATACGTATAAGCACACAAGACAGTAAAATTTTCGAACTTCACGTGTTATTTTGTGCCATGACTGGTCAGCTGCAGAGTGGATCAAACAACTCGCAACAAGAAAGCACATGTAAATGAATATACTGTCATTTGGCTCGCAGTTTTTGTTTGACCACATCAGAACACATGATGCTATAGCGCTGTTAGTCCAGATATTGTTGCACCTATCATCTCCTGTATACCATATCTGTACTGGTTTACAGGCGTGTAATTTTAGTGCACTTCATTGAAAGCAGGTATGCATGTTTAAGACTTAGCAATTTTCCCATAAATGATATGACCTTCCATACTAACGAATCAGTATTCATTGCATAAATAACAGGTATATTTCTCTGGAAAACAACCTCCTTAGCAGCTATGCCCATCACCTTCGTGACATTACAGGTAAATATCTGCCGCAGAGTATTTTTACCATCTCTGGGCATGTCAGTAGTTCTGTCCAAAGCGAACAAACGTGTACCTAATATGTACGATTTTCGTCCAAGTGAGTATTCCCTTCAATTGCAACTTAGAAAACATTACTTTACAGTGTTAAGTGCTAAACAGTTCTGTAGTCTTTGTTTGTCTGCATTCTTTCACTCTAAAATCATTCAAAGTTTTCAATCCTCTTCATTTTTTGCAATCAACTCTGGATTCTATTTACCTACATGCTGAGTTTTCTTTTACCTGAAAAATGGAGCTAGTTTAAAATTCCAGTAAGGAAATAAACAAAGTCGGATTTCAATCGCTTGCCCTCTCGACCAAGCTAAAACCTCAGATATGCATTTTAAAAAATGGATGGCTAAAAGTAGATATGCATGAGCGAAATTGAGTTTTCACGTATGATTAATACAAATTAAGTCAGTTTTTTGCAACGCATATTCTTTCGGATCGTGATAACAGTCGGAAACAGAGAGTGCTATCAACGTCCCCCATTTCACGAAAACCTTTGAACTTCGACAGAACCTAACCCGAATCTCGAGTAGACTCCGCCGGTCCAGTTGTTTGCGGCGGTCACCAAGGGTTTTAGCTAGTCGGTTCAGCAATTAGTAGCTGTTTCGCTCTCCCTTATGGAAGCATTCGCAAAACTTCTCAAAGCCATTGCATCTGTGATGTCTCAATCTAGAAAGAGCATGCTGCACACTTAAGTTTTCTCACTTGATCTGATTATGCGCAGATATATGAAAGAAGTAATTCGTCTCAAAAAAATCTATTTCAGCCCTTCTACTGAATGGCTAATTGAATCAGTATGAATAACTTACTTTTGACTAAATCAAGTGATACATAATTGGCTTTTTACTCAACGATATGTCACTTCGAACTGATGAATAAAAGTTTGTCATTTCAATTTGATTGCAAAGAATTCAACTTTCAGCAAAGAAAATTAATGAATCACTTAAAATCAGTAACCTAACATGGAACGGAATTACGAGGTTCGTTTTTACTTCGCAGTGATCTACAGAAGAACGTAAGGCTAACGGCGCTAAAAATCTATGATATAACTATATCTAGACAAACGCCTAAAAGTGTTACAACCTGGCTGGAACTGGGAGAAAAGAACACATGGAATCAACAGTAAATTTTTTATCACACACTGCTACGCATAGGAAAAAGATGCAAGCGCGTTTCTCCCAATTTTCAATATGTCCATTTGCTGACGCGGGTTTGCTGTTTTATATAATTCTGCTTGCTATGTTCATCTGTCTTAACCAGCTTGCTGCAGAGCACCAGTCAAATTTGTTGGTTTACAGGACAAGTGTTGCTATCAGCGTAAGCAAAATACGAGCTTCCATTGATAAGTGTATTCGGATGTTATTGTGAGGGAAACATCCTTCCGATGTGCGGGACTAGCGTTTCTGATCATTTCAGATAAGCGCGTTGAGCCCAGGTTCTCGGTCTTATAGGTTTATACATTTCAGTGGTTCTTCAATCATTCATATGTTCGTAGCTTACATCTCTGCATCCGATTGTTTCCATACTGATAGATGGTCGTTACTGACTTTTGCGATATTTGGTTCGTCCATGTCCATTGCCGGTTTTGATTGACACATTTTTAATTAATGATGCAATGCGATACATAAATAAATCTTCATTAAATTTGTATTGAGCACCGTGTGAGACAGTGGGTGAATGACGTTGCTAATGGTTCGAAATTTCTTGGGTCTACACCTGATTATACGTACAAGGCACAGTGTAAGGAAAGCAATTCAGCTGTCCTCCTTGCTGAAGTAAGCGTTATTGGTTCGTTGAAGTCGATCAACGGTAATTCACGGGCTTTTACTTTTTCAACACGCTTTCTGTCGCTTTTTCAGCCAGGAGTGACGAAGCTGATCGAAATCGAAAGATTCGGAGAGGATCGTAGAGTTGCGTTGTCAATCGTCCTATCGTATGTATGCTACCTGCAAATCTGCTACGCCAAAGTAAGCGTGAAAAGTAAAATCAAAGAAAAGCGCACGAAACCTATTGCTTTGTGGTTTGACGACGAGCGGATCTTTGTCAACAAAGCGGTGATGTAGCAAGGAGAGGCGATTTCATGAAAGTCGATGGCGTGAAGCGGATTTTCGACGGTTATATGGTAGGCAATCCAGCGATGTACTTTTCATGCGCGATGTAATAACGGTTAATGCAGAGATCGGATCTACCCCATTTGTTAGGATGACCCTCTGTGTCATCACGGCTAGTCGCCGTTGCTCAGTGTATCCGAGGCAGATTTTGCTTACTTCTAATTCAGAGTCTTGTTTCGATGTTTCTTCTTTATGGTGAAGCCAGTGGAGCACAATGGCAACAGAAATAGGGCAGACAAACAAACACCCAGACATTCAATTCGGTTGTGCTGAACTGATGGCCGCTCTGTGAACAGACCGGTGTGGTGTGGTTCCGAAAGTGAATAAAGTTTTTGTTCGCTTGTTTACATAATAAACCAGACGACTGAAGTTGGAACGCTGATTTCATTTCGAAGATACAGAGGTGCAGGTTTGTTTGTCATGTATGTAATGCATGTAATGTTAAATTATGCCGAAATCACATGTTTTCGTCTACTGCCATTTTGCTGCTATAGAATCGTATTACTTATACTCATCGACGGCTGACTGGTCGTATGAGTATTTCCGTGTGATAACCATGCGGTTCGTAAATAAAGCTCTGTACGCCTTCTGCTCAACTGATTTAATAGTGTTCCGCTCATGGGTAACCGCGCTCATGGGCAAAGGTTATTGAGACAGTTCTGCCTCGGAGAAATACCTACCGACTGCCGAGTACCTGACTGTTTGTTTTTTACTAATGCAACATATCCTACAATTTCAATTTCAACTTCTTCACTTCTGTGGTGACATCTCAGACCTATGCTTGTGCTCTTACCTAGTTTTTCGTCTTAATTCCAGTGTACACATTTGCGCTTTCATGGCATATAGCGTCCAGATTTTGCATGTATACATCAATAGTTGGAGAACGTGTTGACCGAATACCTTTCGTTTCAAGCATGCAAGAAAGTCCAGTAGCTTATAAAGAACATAATTTTATCAGTTATCGCAACATTTCATGATAGTCGTAGTCAATTTTTCTCCATTACCCGCACCACTGCATGATCATATTCGTCACCGATCATTACGTGATCATCAACGTCATAAGTTATTTGCATAAGTTAGCATTATTACCTAAATTATCATAATTTGTATTATTTTGCAAATATCATGATCGGATCACCAGCTCATCCGCATGGTCATTATTGTCGTGGTCCTCTACCAATAATTTGCAACCACAAGTCAGTTACCTCATCACTCCCTTCATGGTTATCATTATGGCGGTCATCGTCTCTTCCATTAGCTCCCATGACCATATGTATGTCATACAGTTTGCTTTTCGAGAAAATGGTTACAATCAGTGATGATGATGATTCGAATCTTAATTATTTCATTCGTTTCATTCATTCACTGATTGCTTCCTTCCTTCACCGACATAGTGACTGATTCACGTGTTCGTTCAGTAGCATTCATT